TCATGGTGTTTCTGTGGTGGATCTGCCGGTTTGGGAGGTTTTTGGTGTTTCTGTGGTAGAGCTGCCGGTTATGGAGGGTTTTGATGGTTGTTTGTGTGGTGGCGGACTGGCAGTGTTGGTGTTTGTGTGATGGTGGTTTTGTGGTGGTGATTGTAGAACTGACGGTTGGGGTGGTTTTGTTGTGTGCGCGGTGGTGGATTTGATGGTGTTGTAGTGTGTGCGGTGGTGTTGATGTTGGCGTTGCAAAAATGGCGTGCGCTGGTGAATTTCAGTGGTGAGTTTTGAGCCCGAGGAATCTGAGAGTGGAGTTCGTGTATTTCAGTGGTAATGGCAACGACGACGTGGCTGGTGGCAGTGTTGAGTGATGGTCATAGCTGTCGGTGATGGTCACAGGATTCGATGGTGGTGACCTTAAAATTATGACTAAAAATTAATCTGTAATGGGGGTGGTTACAGAAATTGGTGGTAGTCACAAGGGTGGTCACAAAAAAAAAAATCTAACTGTGACCTTAAAATTGTGACTAAAAATTAATATGTGACCAATAAATTTGAAAATATGTGACTGATAAATAACTGACCTATAATTTTTTGATCTGTGACCAATAAAATAATATGTGACCTGCTTTGTGGCCTCGAAATAATCCGTGATCTACAAAAATTTTGATCCGTGACCTATAATTTTTTTATTTGTGATCTCAAAAAAAATATGTGACCAATTAATTATGTATATGTGACCATTAATTGTATAATCGTAACACCGTTCTATTTAATTAATAAATAAATAAATATTTAATTAATAATATAAATAATTGTCTGAATCGAAAAAGTCATCGAAAAAGTCGCGAAAAAGTTCGTCGGAATAGTCGTCGAGAAGTCACCTGAAAAGTTCAACGAAAAGTCGTCGAAAAGTTCGCCGAAGTGAGGCAGTGATCGAAACGGTCGCCGGAGCAGTAGAATGTTAAAAGTGGGATGAGTTAATTATATTATATTAAAATTAAATATTTAATAATAAATTAATTTAATAATTTATTATTTCATAAATAAAAATTTAAAAAATTTTAATAAAAATCTGATTTTAGTAATTTCAAACTTGTTTTCTTATTTTTGAAATAGTCTAAACTTATTCTCTTGAATGTGAAATTTTCCCTAAAAACTATCCCAGCTAAGGCGAGTCCAAAACCCATAAAAAAAATAAAAAAATCAGTTCTTTGTGAGCTCTCTGGCAAAGAGTAACGTGCTTGTTTGGATTGCTTTTTAATACTTATTATTGGATCTAATACAATATCTATATAATATGTGGGTAGTAAGTTGTAGATCCTACAAAATATGTAAATAAAAATTTAAGCTTTACCAAACAGACATGCAACATAGAGAAGTTGTGGGTTGATCTCATCAAATGTACTGTGCTAGGAAAAAATTTAAACAAATTTTTAAAATGTATTGTTGAGTAAATAGCACTTGCTCAAAAACCAACAGGCAAGAATTTGAAGGGGGAGGGGGATCATTATTCTCTATTACAAAATGGAATTCAAAATTGACTACTTCTAAAGATATTCAAGAATCAATAAAATTGAAATGTACGAGATTCTCAGTCCTTTTCATCCTTATTGGTTAAACAAGAACATGCAGCTGTAGTCAATCGGATTTGAACAACTGACTTTCTGGAAGCTTTTCAAATCAGGCAGATGAGTTTACTTAACCACTAGTTGACAGTGAACCATCCATCAGCAACTTTACAATGCATGGCCAGATTGTAGTGTGTTCACACACCATATATGAGCAAGATCTATATTTAGACACTAAAGCCAATCTTGAAAACTAAAAATCTACATATCATGAAAATCAAGTCCACCGAATTCATTAGTACTTATAAAGCCACCTCATCTAACAGCTTAAGTTGTAAAAAAGAACATTCATCTATTTATTTAAATTTAGTTTTCAATGTGCCTCGTCACGACAGCCCAATCATTTTTAACGTAACGTGTGCATAGTTTTTCATAAATATGGGGCGATGTGGTGGTTGAACATGGAATCTGAGCAAGCTGTGGCATCAATAATAGATTTTTGAGTCATTTGTCTTCTCAAATTTTACCTAGGAGGTGGAACTTTGTGCTGCTTACCGCTTTATCTTGCATATAAAAGCTCCTAGCTCCATCTTCCCCATTATTTTCATTTTCATTCTCATTATATCATATTTGCATAAACAATAACTTCCATCTTAGTATAGAGAATTGGTTTTCTTATATAGCAGTGGATGAATAC